CCGAAAACTGCCAGTTGAGGTTTCCTTTGGTGTGGGGGAATCGGCAGTTTTTCCTGGTCCATTCCTTTTCCAGTGGGTCTGTTAGCAGCTGGATCATACTGATCTCTGGCTGTCCCCAGATGATGTATGGCTTTGGTGGGACTCGTCACACAGAGCAAATTGGAGTAATGCTCAGTCTTCACAAGCCATCCTGCTGGCGTGGTGACACCAGATGAAGGATCTGGCTGCTTAATGTCAGCTCCTCCTCTTCGAGCTATTTATTTATTTATTTATCTTCTCTTGCTGTCTAAGTGTTCTGTCTGGATAACACTGAAGAAGAGGGACTATCCTTACAAGCAGAGCTGCTCTAAGCACTGTTGGAGCCACTTGAGCTCCTGCTTGTCTCCTATGCCCTGAACAGCCTGTCACAGAGGCAAGTAGCAGAGCTGGTCTGATCATAGGCAGTTGGCAAAAATTTTATCAGGGAAAAAAAAGCAGCAGCTCGCTGGCTCACAATAAAGCCACTCCTGGGGCTGCAGGTGAGGAATAATGGTAGGTCTGCTTCTGACTTTTGCTTTTAAAAAACAATATTGAGGGCTTGGCTATAAGAACATATTTTTGAATCATAATTGTAAACTGTTCTGTCACAGCAAGCTTAAAATATTATGGTCAACTCTAGGATCTTACGGGAAAGTAACTTGCAATTATCCTGCACAACAGAGGCAGGATGAGATGAGGTGGTAGTGAAGAAGGGAGAAACCAGATGGGTAACATAAAGCATCTGGAAGGGTAGGCTCATGAAATAATGTAGTATTTTATTTTTGAAGGGTCAGGAAAGAGATTTTTGTAGAGACAAAGAAAAGTATAAGCAGCAGTAAGCAGAGTTGGTCGTGATAGGAATGGCGCATGTGCCAGGTCATGAAATCCCCTACTTAGCAGGGGCTGGGGTAGTGACTTCCGTGACGTACTTTAGTTAGCTGATTTGTCTGCATCTGTCTTGTCGTCTTCATAGTGAAGTTGTGAACAGCTGGTGGTGGCATTTATTAACTTCATGTTTGAAACCAAAGTTCCTGATTTGAGGCTCTCTTCAACTGTATCATTTTTTATTCAGATTTAAAAGATAATCTAGACAAGCTGAGCAGTGACTGTAAGGGAGGGTTATAGTCTGTTCCACCCCCCACCCCCCCTGAACTGGCTAAAAAATTCTGGTGTAGGCTTGGTAGGATTTTTTGGTTTTGCTACCTCCCCCTCCTCCCTCTAAGAGGGTGGCACTGGATTTATAAGTATTTATACACTTTCTTATGTTACAGAGAATTGATAGTAACGGCTTTCTAGATTGGAGGAGAGTGCTTCAAAAATAACAGTGCTTATAAAATTATCTGGTTTGTTCTAAGTTTCGCAGAAATGCATTTGTATTTTGGAAAGCTGTGCAATGTCATCATCTTCTCTAGCATCTCTGTTAATTGCCGCCATCCAAGTTTGCCTGCAGAGTGGAAAGCAGTTTCATATGGTCAAGGTCAGCCCCTGGTGGGTAATTAAAAGGAAAGGTGGTGTACCAAAGGCAGCCCTTGGATGAGCTGGTCTCATGTTTTGTTCAGTCAATGTGTTGCCATATGTTGAATGAGATAGAGCTGCTTTATAATCTGCTGTATCGTTTCACTGTTTGGTACAACAGTTTTAGCAATGCTAAGAAATGTTACTTTTGCAGTTAAGCCCACTTGTAAAAGTAAGCCCACTCTGTGCTCTCCAGCAGAAACTACTGGAGAACAAGACTCGAGTTTGTCTACTCTGTGCATGAGGTGAGAGAAGTGTGTGAGACTCTGCTGTTTCATGCAACCAAAAAGTGGACACTTGCCAAGAGTGGAGAGTCTGTACCTTGCTGATAATAGCTTAAGTATTACTAAATGTTAAGAATTTGCAAAAACATCAGAAGGCTCTCTATGTTTGAAATCATTGACTACTGAAGGCTGCTTGGCAGCAGATTTACTATTTTCAGGAGTGTTTCACTAATTTTGAGTACAGTTTGTAAGCCCTTTGGTGTGTTGTATGTGCATTGTCATGTGGAAGACTGAACACTTCAAATTTACCTGGTCCTGTAAATTGCTGATTTCAATCTATTTTTAAAGATTCTTCCCTTCTTATTGGAAGCAAAGGCCAAAACTGCAGAGATATCGAGGCTGTCTTTCCAGTTCAAGCACAGCAGAACGGTTGTTGCAATGTTCACAACATCACGTGCGGTAGATGGCAAAGCAGGCTGTCTGGATTGTTTTAGAGAGAAAACTGGGGAAAGATCTCAAAACTGAGTAGCCTGAAACGCCCATGTGAGTCTGTAGGCTCACTTCCATGTCCTTTCTTAAACAACTTTCTTCCTCTTAACAGTCAGCAGTTTTGTGCCAGAGCAATGCCGTAGGTTGGACAATGTCATTCACAGTCCCACTCTATTTATAGGGTATTTCAGCAACCCCTCCTGTAGCTCCTGTTTCCTGATTTAAAAGAGCTTTCATGTTATGTCCTCTCCTCTCATTTTCCATTGGCAGAAAAAGAGAGGAGTTGAGTTTCTCCTTGAAATGCAGCAGAGCATTTCTTCTCTTTCCAGGCCATGGGTCTCGTCTCTCAGATTTAGGAGATGAGCCTAGAGCAGGGGGGGGCGGGGAGCTGTTGGTGAGGCATCTGCTGCCAGTGTTCACTTCTGCTTGGCTGTTGCTCTTGCCTGGGCTTCAGAGACAAGGGGAGACGGCTAGTAAAAACTAGTAGGAGATGAGGAGAAGATGGTTCTAGAAGGCACAACCCAGTGGGAAATTGAGTTAAAAGTGAGGATTAGGTTGGAAATGAACTGTGCAGATGCAGTGCCTTGCCTTGACTGAGCCCTGGCAGCAATCACCTGTCTGGAAGTGTTGGCAATTCTGCTGTGCAAAGGTGGCCTGATCCAGCTCGCATATCAAAGTCAAGGCTTATAATTCAGGAGCTGAAAATATATATTTTTTTTTTTTTTTTATATAGGCCAGGTGTAACTTTAAGAAACTGCGGGACAGAGGTCCCTGACATGAGGAATATTGTGTTAGAATAACACTCTCCATGTTAATTTTAAATTATTGTCATTGTTAGCCCTTCCCCTGTGTTTTCCTCCCTTTGCGTTCTTCTTTTCCTTTCTCCTTTCCAACAACCCAGATGTAGTTTTGATGTTGTCTTTTTTCTGTCATGCTGTTTATGTGGTACAGTGTTTATTTTAAAAAGCCAAACAAGGATTTAATAACATTCAGCTGATCACAGAACAGCTTTGCTTTAAAAGCTCATTAGCTAGGGCTTGTCTCCTGGTTTTTGCTTTCAGTGACATGCCTGTCACAGTGACAGAAAATCTTATATATCTGTGTGTGTGTTTATTGTTTCTCACTAACTCTCCTGGTTGGAGGTAGTGCTGATAAAGGATTTGAAGTAAAACTTTGCCCGGACCAGTGAATGCTCATTTTCTAGTTTTTTATGTAAATGGAACAAGTGATCCTCAACTGAGCAGGCTGTTAGTGCCTAGACCTTGGATATTGTAAGTTTGGCATAATTGTCAGTATTGGCCAAAACCAGCAGGAAAGCACAGGTTCCAGATACATAGTTTTATGAAAATTGGCATCTGGAAAAAGGATGGAGTGCCCCTGTGGCGAAGTTGATTTATCTTACAAGATGCTACACGAGGACAGGCTGGTGGGCAGGTGAGCGTGTGCCTGGCTCTGGATCACAGCAGGCTTTCTGCCTGCTGAATATCCCCATCAGGCAAGCTGAGAACAACTCAGAGGGAGTGGCTGCAGGTCCCGTGGAAGGGAGAGACATGAAGCTGGAGCTCGGGTGGCTGTGGTGGGGATGACAACTACTGTGGTGTGTTTTCCTGCTTACAAAACATCATTTGCTTATAAAATACACTTGTGAAGTAAAGCTATAAACAGCATTGTGTGCTCAGTTATTCAGAAATTCATCTAGGCCTGCTTTAGAACAATGAGAACAGGCTGAAATTTGTGTAATTAAAAATAGTAGAAATTTGGCTCTTTCAAGTTGCTCTTTTCTTAAATTTCTCTCTTCAGATGTCCCAAGTCATGTTATGTAAGTTTACTCTGCAAACACAAAGTGTAGAAACTTCATCTGAAGTTCTGAGTGTTGGAAAGAGTATAAAACTGCAGTGAGTGATGCTCTAGTATTAAAAAAAGAAACAAAGCCCAGTTAATTGTCTTCAGATAACAGTAAATAGATTGTACATTCTTTCCTGATAAAACTTCCAAAGACCTTTAGTGACCTCCATGCTGCTCAGCAGTCACTTGTGCATCAGCATCCCTCCCTCATTTGTCTTACGGCGTCACAAAATGGATTGAGCTTGGAAAAAAGCATGCTTACTCTGAAACAGAAATGATCACGCATGGTATTTTTCATGACTAACTATTAAAATGTAAATACAGACCATACATCAATCCAAATTGATACTCAAAGGTAGACAAATTCTCAGTCTATTTTAGTGTGTTTTTATCATTATCTTTTCTAGGTCTAGGTACCTCAGCATATTAATGTTTAAGAATTTAAATGTTTTAGTAGCATTTAATCTATATTATAAATAATTGTTTTGTTGGGGTTTTTTTCTTAAATAAAAATGTCTTTTAGTTCTATTTAGGTCTAAATCTGGTTAAGCCTGTAGTATGTGCTGCACTCATCAAGGATTCTTTAAATAAAAGCATTCCCTCTTCTGGATAAAAACAAAATAAAGCTCAGCTTGCTACAGAAACGCTGGCCTTATGGCCTTGATTTTGGCAAGGCTCTGAGTGTACTGACCTGTGCTATGTACTTAAAAAAAAAAAAAACAACCAAAACCAAACCAAAACAAAAAAACCACCAACCAAAACAACACAGAGTTTAGGACCTTGTGAGTTGTGAGCAGCCTTTTTGGAGTCAATAACATGTTACTTCTACCTGCACATGCTGGGTCCTCTGGGAGTTGAGTCAGCATTTTTATAATGGCTTTAAGACAACTGTTTCTCTTCTTCCTTTAGGCTCATAGCTGGCAGCCTGGAATCAAGAACCCATACCGTGGGGTGGTGGTATGGCCAGTTCCTGAAAATGTTGAGATTACTGTGACGCTCTTTAAGGTATGTTTTTTTTTTTTTAAAGCATAATCTTTCCTATTTCACAAACAGCATATGAACAATTCTGTTTGGAAACGTCAGATTATAATCACAAAGGCCTAATCTTGCTGGGTTTAAGTTGTTAGCTGCACAACCTTATGTCCCCAGCTTAAATCCTAGAGAGAAGGATGGTCTGTTCCCCGCCAAAGCTTACTTCTGTAGTTTAGTTAACACACTGAAATATCCCATTGAGCTAATTATGACGAGTCATTGGCATAGAATTTAGTACGTGTGTAACTGCGCACGTAGTACATGTGTAAGGGCTTGGCATGGGTTATAGTCTGGTTGGCTTTCTTTAAATACTGTAAGCCAGAAGTTGTCAAAACACAGCCATTTGTAGACTTCCTTGTTCAGTTGCAGTGCAGTGACCCTATTTCTTATGCTATTGACTAGGAAACAGAATCCAGCTTTTAATTTCACAGTATTTAGTATGCCACACAAACATCGCACTACTTACGTGATTGCAGTTGTAGGAGTGGATGTGGAGTATTGGAGTAATACAGAGAATTATAAGATTTTTATGGGGGATTTTTTTTAGGAACTGCATTCATTCTATTAAAAGAAGCTGTTTTGTGTGTCAGCAAAGCAGGAGGAGAAATGGATGGTTATGCTAGAACTTATTTCCCAAATATCGTTGGGGAAGGTCCTTTTTGCATAAAGATAAACAATACAATTTTGCATGTGTAACAGCATAGGAGGCTGACCGCAAGGCTGACAGCTTCTGGGATTTTCGTGCCACTAGTTCTTTCTTGTTCTTTACTGTTGTGTCTCCAGCTACACTCTGGTTGTTCTTATTTATAATTGCTCTCTTTACACCTTATGGCAAGGGTAACATACTTTTTTCTAATTAGTAATATTTATATTTCTTGGTCTTGGGGACTTCCCTGATTAACTGCTTAGAAGTGGCTTCTTGTTAGCCTTAGCATGTGAATTTATTACTTGGTTCATTAAGCCTAAAAAGGGGGGTTTCTCTCTTTTTCTTTTTTTTTTCCCCCTTTTCTTTTTTATTCTTGGGATCACCAATGAACAGAAACTTCCCAGGTTGCCAGTGATGCTAACTATCATAAATTTGTGTCTCTTTTTAGCAGACGCATAGTCTTCAACTGGGGTTCAAAAGTTCACTAACAAAAATTGTTTGCCTTTGCATGCATCAAGGGCCTCTGCTGGATTAAGAAGTTTAACACCATTACATGACTACACTGTACGTCTGTATAATCTGAATATGGTTATGTAACACAGTAAATGTTACTTAATATTTTTAACATTTAAAGTGAAGCAGAAATGTACACAATTCTTGACTGTGTATGTGATAACTTCTCATTCTTGACGTAACATGTTAAGTTTCTCTTGGGTGCAGCTCTGTGATGCTGTGGTTTAGGAGTAGTGTCTCCCAGCCTTGTCCTGCCATCCCACACTACCTTCTTATTCCTGCCTGCACCACTTCAGGGCTATATTTTGTAGTACAGCACAACAGACTTGTAGCTGTGCCAAGTGAGTGAGTGTAAAGGCTAGGAGCAGATAGTGAGGGGAGAGAAGGGCCTCTGGAGCCGGTGTTAGGTATTACTACAGCCTTAATTTTACCCGGTGCTCTTACTGTGCGGGCAGATCTGTTCACTGGACTGCTGTCTCCTCTCCCAAAAAATAAGCCTGCCCGTCGCAAGGGTTGCTCTGGGAAGAGGGGAAGGAGCGTAAATAACGCCAGAGACTGTGTCTTCTGGGAATGGTACACACTGATCATTGGGGGACCAAGCACAGGCTTTTATAATCAAAATATTGACATCACGCAAAAAGCATCATATTGTCAGGCAGCTTTTATGTAAATCTGCTCTAACTGATCCTCTGGCTCCTCCAACAAAAGTGCCTGTAAGTGGCCAAAACCACCTTTTTCTTTAAAAGGATGTGTAGGTGCGGTACAGAGCAGCGCTTTTTGAGCAAGCTGTGTGATGCACCAGGATCACTGTATCTGTGCGAGACCAGCAGCCTGCCCGGATGAATGAGCTGTGAGTGATACGTGATTGCAGGCAGCATATGGTGTTAGCGCAGCTCAGGCTGTGCTGTTGGTTCTGTTGGCTCAGTGCTACAGCGGCACTTCAGCTGTAGCACGGGATATGTCCTAACGCCTGGAGAGCTGGCATTTCTGTAGCTGGTACATTCTGGGCAAAGACGGTCAAAAAGAACTAGCTATTTTTTTGCACAGCTGAGGCATTGGCTGGTCAGTGCTGGAGTACTGGGAAGGGAAGTACGTAGTAGCACACTGCAGCAGCCTTTTGGGGAGCTGACTTACAAATCAGGTATTTATACCATTCCTTCCTCTGGAAGGAGGGAGGCGAAAATGATGAACGCCGTAAAGCTCAGAAAAAGAGATGGCTCATCTTTCAGTTCTGTCAAAGTCCCTTTAGGGGCCACTCCTCTGCGAAGGAGGGTGACCGCTGAACGTTTGTCACTGCAGTAAGTACACTTAGAGTGGCCGTGGTGTTTAACAAGCAGTAGTTGTCCTCTTTCATTGCAACCCGAGAAGCTAAGGGAAGCTGCGGACTCCATGTCCATGCTGGCAGGAGCCCACTGATGGGAGCAGGTTGCTCTGACAGAGCTTTGTAGCAATCACAGATAACAAATTAGCACAGTGGTGCTGTTTGAAATAGAAGTGCAGGGAAGGGAAAGACCTGACTCCAGGATAGACAGCTATGTGTTTTGGGAAGTGATTCACACAGTAGTGGCTGTGCATTCGTAAGTGGCTGTTGAAATGTGTTGCTGTTAGGATTAGGAGATAAACTGAGGTTTTAAGTGCTGATGAGAATGTTAAGAATATCCTCTCCAGTAGTTACCCGTGGACACTTGAAAGCTGGCTAGCAAAGTGCCTGTGATCGGTGAACAGACGAGATATTTTGCATTATCTGCACATCCCTATTTTGGGTGTTTTAGCTTGTTTCCAACAACGTATTTACAATTCTTAGGCAAGCAGAGCTAAATATTGAAGAGACTATAACCTTGATTTAGAAAAATTGCATTTCAAATAAATAAAATTTTTTTGTTTCATTTCACTTAATTCTGGGCTGCTGGTAAAATTTAATGATGCTCTGGAGTCATGTGGGCAAAAGCATCAAATGGACATACTGATTCAGCTTCCCTTGACTAGCTCTAGCTCCTACCCATCCAGCTGGCTGAAGTGCTAATTACATAAAAAGTTCAATCTGTTCTGAAAGTTTAAGTTCTTCCTTTGCCATGCTGTACATTGATGTTTGGTTATGCCTTTTATTTTTCAACTGAAATGGGGAGAAAGAAACATGGTGAAACAATAAGCCTATTGTGCATTTTAAGTCCACTATTTGTAGTGCTTTCATGGAAATGATCCACAAATGCCAGAAAAGCTAGCTGAGTTCCCGTTTTTCATTGTTTCCATGGTTGCACTCCAGAAGTTCATTTTTAGTGTCCCTGCATTAGCAAGGGTTGACAATCATACATGAAAGCTTGTATACTTTTCTGTGGTTTTATGTACAAACACCTGTATCAACTGAGATTTTAAATGAGAAATTTTTACTGCCAAGCAAGCCCAGTGCTTTTAGCAAAGCTAAGTGAACATCAATTGTACTGTGAGGATTTAAATTGCAACAGCATTATTTTCTAGCTTAAAAGCAAAGTGAAGTTCCCAAGCAAAAAATGTTTGTTCTTCTGGAGTAAACATGGACTTTGCTTCATTGGATTACAAAAAACACTTGTCAGTAATATACGTGGTTTATCACACCAATGTACTATTGCAACAATGGGGAAGATTACCAGCTCTTCATTCCAAAGTTTGAAAAAAAACCCCAATTTTTTAAAGGCATAGCCTTCTAAACACACAAAAAAATAGTTATGAGTAAAAATAAGAATAAAATAGATGATAAAAGAAGGCTTATATTGTGAAATGTATTCCTGTCCCCACATATCTCTCACAATAAATCCTATATTATCTTTCTTGAAAGTCTGAGTCAATCGTGCTTTGATTATAGTGCAGTAACTGGCCATTCACTAACCAGCAACACTGCAGCAGAGCCAATACACTGTCTCAGGGAAGAAAAAAAAAAAAAAAACCCAACCCCAAAACCAAACCCCTTTTGATAAAGCCATTTCCCAGAAGCAAATAACACATCCAGGTTCAGAACATACTTATTTCAGTTTAGGAGAGACCAGCAGCTTGACTGGACACTGTGGAGGATGTTCCATAGGAGGCAAAACCCAGCCCTGTAGGCAAGACAAGATGTGTGTCAGATAGATACAAAAAAATCATACACTCGGGGAAGGGAGCACACTTGCACGTTAAATAATTAAATATCCAGGGTCATCGTGGGGACTAATTGTAAAAAATATATTTTAAAAACAAATAAATGTCAATCCTTGTTGCCTTTTTTAGCCCGGAGGCTTTACAGGAAATTGTGAGCTGTCACAAGCTTGGTGTCGTGATGTACAGGGGCCATTCTGCCGGTCTGCTCAGAGCTCCCTGCTTTCTGGAAGCTCAACAAAAGCTGGCCAAAGTTGTATGTGACTTTCTAGACTAACCAGACCTCTGTGAGCAGCATTGAAAGCGACAAGAATAGGGTCAAACTTTGAGTCTTCTGCAGCTTCAAACAGCTGAGTACAAAAGCTGGGGACAGATGCTGGAGTACCCGGAGCATCTGCTATAGGTCACTGGCAGAGGAAGATCACAAACCCTGTCATCATTTGATTTGATTCAATATGACAGTCCTTAAGTAGTTATTCCCCAAGAGGAAAGACTGAAGATTAAGGCTGGTATGAAGTGATCTAATTGAAAGGCAAGCTTCAAAAGCCAGGAAAGCTTAGGGAGGAGGCACAGGGAAGGAAGGGAGGAAGGGACTAACAGTCTGAAGATCTTCCCTACCCGCTCTGGCTGCTGCTTAGGAGAAGGAGCAGTCCCTTGTTTTCTGACATATTTCTTTCGCTCCTATTAGAAGAGATACAGAAATAACTCTGAAGATAATTCAACTTACTGGAGAAGGGTCACCTTTCTTCAGTCTTCTGAAACTACCTTACACACTATAGAAAGGATCTCATCCTTGACAAAGCTGCTTGCTGGATGGGCTGATGATGGACTGATCAACAGAGAACAGAAAAACGTGACATACACATTCTTTCTTGCTCATCCCTTGACTGAGCCCAGAAGAGTTGTCTGGGTGGTTGGCACATGGATGGGCATAATGGAGTCACAGAAAGAAGCTGGTGGGTGGGATTGTGAAGAAAAGTTTGTAGGACTGAGTGTTGAGGGCCAGCATCTCTCTAGGAAAGTTACTGGAAACATGTGAGATGAGCTAGGTTTTTGCTGGTGGATGAAAGTACACTACTGACCTTGAGAGGAGAGTTGAAATTATTATCTGAAGGTCTCACTGTAGGAGAACCGTAAGATAATATCCTGTCCTTTGCACAATTCCCTACTATTGGCTTCTCACCTCAGCATTACTTTTGAACACTGAAGTCGTCTTACCAGGAAAAAAAAGAATGGAAGAAGGGTAGGGGGAAAAAAGAATGCTCTAAAACTTATTTGAAGATACTGAAAAGGAGTGTCATGATGAGAGGTGAATGCAGGAAACAGGAAAATGGGGCCGATCTCTTGATATTAAGAATGATGATTCTTTTTTACACAAAACAAAATGAAGAGGAACAACAAGCTATTCACTCCATTTACCCAGATACTCACAGTTTTCAATTCAAGGTAAAACCATAATGAATATTGGATAGAGTGTAGTTCTGCATCTGGTAAAATGAGCATTATTAAAAAAAAAAAAAGGCTCTTGCCAACTCCCTCCGTGTTGCAGCGAGGTATGAGGCAGTTTCAGGCTGAGAAAAATACTGGAGACAGTTTGTTCCTTGAGCTTCTTAGGTAGTTTTCATTATTTTATTTCAGCAAGGAGGATGGAAATGAGGTCTAACTCTTGTCCCTAGGTGTTTCCAGCTGCGCGTTTTCAGTGATTATTTTTATCTGATTGCAGGTGAGGTGAGGTTTTGTGTGCTGTGTTATCAGGGAGGGCTGTCATACAGTGAAAATTTCAAAGGCTGCTATAACCGTTACTCCTAGGGCTATTCTTCTTTGCAATGGCATTTTTTTTTCCTAAAGAGTAGTCAGCTGTATAGTCCTCAAATAATAGTTTGCTAAATTCATCACATGAGTTTTATGTGGGAAATGAATGGAGAATATGGGTTAGCCAGTAAGGGAAGTATGTGTTGTCATGTTTTTTTTTAACTGGTATTTACCCTCTTCAAATCCAAAATAATCTGAAAGATTAGCCAGGTAAGATTTATAGAAACATCACTTTTTATGGAGACCACATATGGGAATGTTAGGCCAAAGGGTGAAAATGGTGGTTGCAATAGAAGCTGTGTAGTAACTATAATCATGTAAGTATCTGTTAATGTTGACACATAATAAAGTTATAAATTAGCTAGCAATAGGACTACGCATGCTGCTCCCTGGGACTCTAATAAAAGCATTTTAGTGAAAAGAGTGAAGCCACTTACCTGTCTGTTGTAAAGAAATGCCGAGGCTTATGTGTATAAGCTTATTCAGGGTTTTCTGTTTCTGGAGGTATTTTAAGACCAACAAGAAATGTACCTTTAAAAAGACTTCATACTCTCTGAACTTTTGGTAAGCCTGTTCATTAGAGAAGTCCTTGAAGCTTTTAATTTTTATTTTTTATTCTGGGTAGTTGGTAGGGCGTCTGGAGGTAATACACTTGTGTTTATTTTTCAAAAGTGTTCGCAACTTGCTTTCAAGTGCATGCTAAAATGTTGAATATTAAGAAGGCTTTTTGTTATACAGTATTATTTTGCTCTAGCAGATTATCAGAAATACTCAACAGAGCACCTGATTCTGTAACCTTCAGAGGTGTGAATCAGCTCTATTGCCATTCATAGAAGAGCTTTGCTTTTCTTTATAGATTATTGCCTTACATGAACAAAATAACGATTGTTTTATGTGTTACATGGGATAAAATAGTAGGCCCTGACTTTGCAAGCAGTTTTAGGTAAACTTGCAAGCTTACATTAATAGCTTTTGGGGGAGTTATGAAAAAAATTGAGTGGGATGAAATATTTAAGAATTTAGTCACTTATGTTGGAGTAGCTTATGAAAACATAAAGTGATTAATGATCCCATTAAATCTCATTATGTCATTTTATGCTGTATCCAAGGAGGCGATTAAACAAAAAGGTAATTGCCCTACGTTAACTCTTGAAAATTATAAGTATTTAATAGCTGGATTACAGAAAATGATATCTTTAGAATTTATATAGGATACAGCAAACCAGCAGTTATCATGCACTTTATTTACATAACTCAGAATTCCACAAACCTGATTAATGTCATGGTTATATAATTACGTAATCTGATATTTACTAGTACATTAATTGGAATACAGAGATACTTGAGTATGATTTTTTATATATCTACTTGCCCTTCTATCTTTTTGGGTAATGGTACAATGTGTGTGTTACACTCATTTGCAGTATTTAAATTATTCTGACTTTTTAAAAATCTATAAAGGTTTATTCATATATCAAAAGAAATCATCAAGTTTTGACATCAGTTTCTAGTAACACTTTCTTGTATTTTTTTCAATTAAACTACATCCCATTGTTGGAGTAATGCATTTTAAAATGTGTATTGCATATGACACCTGTGGTTGTAGCTGTTAAATATATAGTTAATGATGGTGCCAGCGGTATGATGTCTTGCTGAATTCCCTCTGTGAGCATGTTGATGCCTAGTGGGACTCCTCCGGCAAGGAGAGACAGCGTTTTACAGGGTGTCTGCAGAGCAGTGGAAACAGCTGGGTTTTGCTGGATTTTGTAGGAAGGACTGTGTTGGAAGAGATAGGATGATATCCTCTTAGAAATGTTACTGTAGTTCATTCAAAGATGAGGTTTATTTAAGAGCACGCTTTCCAAGTTTTTTGTGTGCTGGAAAAAGGAAAAAATAATTCTTTTTGCTGCTTGCTTATGCTGTAAACTCATTACTTAGAAAATCTTTTATTTTGTGTATTTGATGAGAACTAGTTAAAAGAATAGTAATATTAATAAGTGATATAAAAATATAGTACTGTGATGCAGTCCTTCCATTGTGTGTCTGACTTAAAGGTAAAGCTAAGCAAAACAAGGATGGTTAAAGCAAAGACTAAGATAAAGTGAGTTGTAAAGATGGAATATAAGGCTTGTAGTATTCTGGAAAGAAAGGAAATGTGGTACTAACGGTGATAAACAAAGTAGAAGCAAAATCTCTCAATCTATTTTGCTAACTTACATCAGCAAGATGGAGTTGGTGCAGTGCATGGTGTAGGCTCCAAACAATAGCAAGAAAACTCTGCGGGTGCTGATGGGTCTCATATTTGATGGTGGCAAATGCTGATTATGGAGAAGTGACATTTATCTACAAGTGTCTATAGCATGCAAGCATCAGAGGCAAAGGAATAATTGAGTGGTTTCCTGTGACTAGAAATAATAGGGTAAAATTGAGGTATAGCAAAATGAGACTTCATGTCAGAAAAAAGCCTAAAGCCACATTCTCTCAGTGTGCGAACCTGTTTTGCAAGAGGGGTAGAAGTTCTTTTGTTACAGTTGGTCAGAACTAGGATTGGATGATAAATTAATGAGAGAGATAGATAGAGAAATATATATTAAAAAAGTAGTTTTTAAAAGTAGGATCCTTGATAGAGGCATGAAGGGAATGACTTTATGTCTCCACTGTTTTCTTAATTTCAGACAACCATAATATAGACTATAGCACTGGATTGAAAGCTCATTAAATTGGAAGCAAATGCCCAATATATAAACCTGGTGTTGCAAATGAGTAATTATTTATCTTCCCGTTGGTGAAAATAATTTTTGTGTGTGATGTAATAGAAATTTAGTGAAGTAAGGTGGGTATTTAAGAAATTTCCAGTGAAATGAGGTACTGTGCAGAAGCTGTGACTGGATCTTTGCTCGTGCTGATGGAATCTGGGCATGAGGTGATTGGGGTGGTGTTTTTGATGCCCTGCTGTAGGTGTATGCCTTCTCATGCCAGGTGGGAGCAGTGGCTTCCTCCACTGTCCTCTGCAAGATGTAGATTAATTGTGTTTATTTGGAAGGTGGAACTTAAGAATTAATGTGAGATTTATCTTTCTTTTGCCCTGGGTGAAAGGAAATAGAATTACAGGTCTTTATCAGAATCAACCTCACATTTGTATCTGTAGGAGTATTTATTAAATCTTCACTGGCAGCTTTACACCAACTTGCTCGTCATCTTATTGACATCCCTTGAAGCCTACATACCAGCTAAAATATTTTCCTATGTCATCTTCAGTGGGTAAAAATATTTCTATGAGTATATGAAAATCTTGGCTGAGTTGCAATTTCTTGCACCCTGGATTATTTTTAGACTTAAGTTCTCTGGTTTGTTTTTCTAGGATCCCCACGCTGAAGAGTTTGAAGACAAAGAATGGACGTTTGTCATAGAGAATGTAAGCTGGAATGGTGTTATGTTTTGGGGTTTTTTTTATGTGTAAGACTTAATCATTTAAAAGATTAAAGGGTGTCCAAATGCTGAAAAAGGCTTGAG